AAGTTCATTTTATGGACACAGCGTGCACCAAAGCACAATTTACACCGATATAGCAGCATGTCAAAATGTAAACATTACAAAGCGGCCACAAAAACTTTTCAAGGCGTCCAGAAGCCATTTTATAAATCCAGTCTTCAATTGTTTAAACTCCATTTGTCCACAAGGGTCCACAGATTAAAAGTAATCCAGAATATTTATTAAAAAACCTATTCCATGATGAGAAAATCGCCACATAACGTCCGTTTTTCACATCAGAAAAGTTAGGTGGTCAGAGCTAATGCTTAGCATCTTTCTAATAAGACTTACTTCCTCAAAAATTTGTCTGCGATATTTGGTATGTTTCTTTACATCGTCTTCTTACTTAGAAGACAAATGTATTTGCATCTTTGTATGACTCGATTTGAGTCGGGGACAGCCAATGATGCTCACAAGCGCTCCTTGCCTTTCAGCCAATGACGCACTGAGTAGAGCGATATTTACGCCTCATGTAGTCCTGCTGTTATTGGTTAAAATCACGTGGACTGTTTGGCTGTGTAACCAATGAGTAAGCTTTCAAACAAGGGTAGATATGGCTGGGTTGCATAAAGCAGAGCTGTGTTACCGGCTTGCATAAGAGTGAAAGACACAGCTAAGGCTGGATCAGTGTGCAAATTTCGAAGCAGATTACTAACAACGCTCCGATATTTTTTAAGTTGCCTCAGGCCGAAAAAAATAAATAAAATACAGCTCAGAAAAGGCACTGGGAATTATTTTAGCATGAAAAACAGCAGTTTCACTATTATTTATAGACTTCTATGTTATTTTAGGTTAATAAATGTTACATTTTGTTATATACACTGATTCTGAAGAAAAAGTGGAAACATACTTGCTTCATAAATGTTTTGTGGCCATCAAAATGCTTCAGTGTTATTCTATCGGTCAAATAGTTGAGTAAAAGCATTTGGCACATTTGGAGAGGGTTGGAGACGCTGATGACAAAAAAAGTTTAAAGCCCCACAGTTCTGGAACTGTTGTAGCTAGAGGTCTGAAATTTTCTGCATTTGTGGACGACATGATGTAGAATAAATTTAATACAATGAGACATGCCTATTCTCAAGCATGTCTTTATTACTGCTGTTCAAAAAAGACCTATGATTTTCGAGAATAAAAATAAAATCCACTTTGAGTCATGTTTGAACTTATGCAGCTTAGGCTGTGTTTTACTCAAACTATCTTTATTTATATTTTCAGAAAGGTGTTAGCTTTTAAATGATGTATCACACATGTAATGTGGGCTTACAGTTCCTTAGTTATCTGCTTTTCCATTTGGGTATGCAAAATAGTCAAGGATTACTTCAAACTGTGTGGGTGTTAAGAGTGCTTGTAAAACTTTCACCTGCCAGTACAAATTTCTCCTAAGGGACAGTAATGTGGGCAGATCTTAGAATAGCATTCAAAATATTTTTTTTAGGTGTTGTAAATAGTCATTAACTCTTTTTATTAAGAGGAAGAGGAGACCTGACTGTATATATGAACATTTGTATTCAACATAATTTTACCAGTAGGTCTGAAAACAATGATTGTGGATCTTACATTGTAAACTGTTGGTTAGTGAAGCTATACCAGTTTTTTAAAATATTTGCTGCAGAGAATGAGGATCCTTACCTTGTCTCTGGAAAACATTTCTAACTCTGAAAAATGCAGCGTGTTCTACAGAGAGTTTGAAAGCTCAAAAGAATGCGACAGAACAACCTTGCTGTTATCTGCTTCATTCTTTGCTCTCTCTTTCTTTTTGCAGCCTAAATGACATGCTTTGTGATGTATTTGAAAATATACAGGTGCATCTCATTAGTATAAAATTGTATATCAATATTTAATATTTCAAAAACACAATTAAATAAATGAAAAAAAAAAATTAAATACAGTTCATTTCAAAAATATTTTAATGATCCAAAAAGGAAATTAAATGTTGCCGTAGGTTTTTTCATCAAGTAGGCATTGATAGCTGTAGGCAGAAAGATCTTCTGTAGCTTTCTGTCCTGTACCAGATCTGGAGAAGCCTCTGACTGAAGACACTCTATTGTTGTTATACAGCCTGTGTGACGAGGATGTTCACTGTTGTCGGTAATGTTCTTCACTTTATGAAGAATTCTCCGTTATCAAAAATCTCAAGATATCCTAGAGGGGTTCCTAGAACAAAGCCTGTATTTTTATCAGTTTGTTGAGCATTTTCAAGTAATTTCCTCCGATGCTGTTACTCTAGCAGATGATAGAGGAAGAAATCACACTCTCCAAACAGACTTATAGAAGAGATGCAGAAGTTGAAGACAATGAAGACACTGCATACAGTTTACAACAGTTTGAAATGATTGTAGACATACTTATTTTTCTACACGGTTATTATATTACATTCGATTAAAAAAATCTACGTTTTCTTAGAAAAACATGGGCTAAATAAAAAAGTATGCTTAGGGTCTGGTTAGTTATAGTATAAAAACACAAAAACCCCTCCCCTCCATGCTACCTGACCCCTGTCCTGTCTCCCAGACTCTCAGACACGCCCTTAGAGCACCCAAGGAGCAAAGAGGCTGCTTGCTGCCATCGCTGTCTATTTCCATTCTTTTTGTTAAACTGCTACTCTTTCTCTCATACTTCTTCAAGGCAGAAGGAAAAACCCTAAGCTTTTGGGCATGGCATAGTGAGGTGTTAACTAGGGTGAGGGAAATGGATAAGAGAAGGGGGAGAAGGTTGACCAATTGGAGCCATGTGGCCGGATGGATCCCATTGGTCATCATTTATTTGCAGCCTCTATAGCAGGGGTCTCAAACCGGTTCCAGAAAGGCCCATGTGGCTGCAGGTTTTCTTTCCAACCAAGCTATACCACACCAGACTTCAGTCATCTCATCAAGTGAGTCCAGTCTTAACATGATGACTTGATGAGATGAATGGAGTCTGGTTTGGTATTGCTTGGTTGGAAAGAAAACCTGCAGCCACACGGCCCTTTCTGGAACCAGTTTGAGACCCCTGCTCTATAGTGAATGGATTTTTTTTCAGTTTTTTTGCAATTGATATTGTGCACAATGCACTATAGGACCACAACCACCATCTAAATGAGTTTATTGATAGTGATCACAGTTCCAAATGGAACTGTGATCACTATCTGTGGACTATAGCTTTAAAAGTTATTTATTAAAGGTACTTAGGTGTGTAAAAGTAGCTTAATTGAAATCAGTTTTCCTCTATGAGATTTTTGTATTTTCTATTTTTAAACAAGTCATACTGATCAGGGATGGTCAAGCTTAAAATACTTAGATTTCCAGAATTAGATGGTTTCTCTGTTTTCTTTATATATTTTGAAAAAGTGACTCCGGCTATTGAATTAATCCTTGTTCAACAGCCGAAGCTTATGTTTAGTCAGACATAAACTTCATAACTCATCATTTGTCATTTTATCAAACCAAGCACGGGATTTTCACAATCTAAGAGTTCTGTAACTCAAACTTAAGGAGCCTCATTTGGTCTTTCAATGTGGCAGGATCCAGATTTTTCTGTGAATGCCTTCATTCATTCAGCTATAGTTGATACCTGTGAACTTTTAACAAACTCAACATTATCTGTGTCTGCAGCGTCAAATCTTAAACATATCTTCTTACAGCAAGTAAGCCTTTCTCACCCATTGAAACAATTGAACCTATAAAACCTACGAGTACAAACATTTTAGCTAACATAAAAATTATATTATACATATTTCTTTTTACACCAGCTATAGGATGTCGTTTTAACTGAGTATTTTTTATACAATAACGTAAGACCAATAGAGAAGGCAGCACTCAATAACATGCGTTTGTATTTTTTAGTATGTTTTGTAGTTTTTAAAGTTGTCAGGAATATTTACCCAGAAAGTTAAAACTCAAGAAAAAGGTTCTACCTGCTCACACATTTAAACTTTCATGACCCAACCAGACAACAACTTGAACATAATTAGGGTAGTGTTCATTTCCAGGAGTAGATTTTAGGAGTTAACATGAACCAGGGGGATGGCTAAATTCTTATTTTAGAATTATGCTGAATTCTTGTTGTCCATCCCCATGTTTTGCACATAAGACAAGAACACATCTAGAGTATATTTATTCTCAGTGTTTTTTTCTTTTCTGTTTTTGGATCTTGTATACGCACCTTTGCATTTTTCAAAACTAGCTGAATGGAGGCCAACGCTGGCTTCTTCACAGTGGATTTTTATCATGATGATGATGATGCTGATGATGATGATGATGATGATGATGATGATGATGATGATGAGACGTCACTCCTGTGTGTGTTACGCATTTTATTAAGGGGAATCCCATGTTGACCTTAGTATCCTCCCCAGACCAGATTATGGGATTGCGTATCAACCTGGCGATGAAGCAGATGTCTCTAGATATGCATTAGTCATCACTTGGGTTCGCTATCACCTTGGAGACTAAGGAGCTCAGTATGACATCCCAATAGGAAGTGGTGTCACTGATTTAGAAATACTGCTCAGCTGTGAGTCAGAAGAAGCATCAGCACAGAGGTATTCCCTGTGGAGTAGAGCAGGGCTGGAATAAAGCACTCTGGTTCTGTGTGAAATGCTTTACAAGTTCTTGGATGAGTGAGAAACTGTTCAGTGAAAAATTATTCACATAAATGATCAAATTTGAGTTTAGTGCAAACAGGGCATGGCACTTCTTGTTTAAACCTGTTGTCTCATAGCCACATATCTACAGATTTTACACATCATGATAACACATATTGCTGCATTGTGGTAATAGTGATACTAAAGGTTCCTATAAATGTGGCGTTAGTTTTAAAATGCTTCTTTTTTTTTAGCTTTTTATTGACTGAGACCAACGTTTCTCCTCTTTATTACATGATTTTTTTATCTACTTGTGCTGTTTTTTTTTTATTTTATCAACATGTTTAAGTCCTACAGACAATCTGTGGAAAAGCTGCTCATGTTTTAATGCCGTATGTTTCTCTTTTTCTGTTTTCATGTGCAGTTTTGATGTGGACAATGGCACAGCATCAGGTCGAAGCCCCCTGGACCCGATGGCCAGCCCAGGATCAGGCCTCATCCTGCAGGCCAACTTTGTCCACAGCCAGCGTAGAGAGTCCTTTCTCTACCGCTCTGACAGTGACTATGACCTCTCACCTAAGTCCATGTCCCGAAACTCCTCCATTGCCAGTGACATGTAAGTTGCACAAACATATGATTTTTCCTTCAAATTATGACACTTTTAAAATGCATCCAAATGAAATGCACACCTCTGTGTGCAGGTCCTTATGTCTTACCTTTTTGCTTTGGTGAATCTGTGTCAGCTGTATATTTTCAGGACTGGTTTGAGGGGAAGTGTGCATGAGCACCAGAATGATTGTGTTTTTTCACGTGTTCTCAGTCATACCCAATGGGACAGTCAGTACAAGTATCTATTTCTTTTTTAAAGTTGTACCTCTATGTAATTTTGAAATGAATTTCCAACAGATCTAAAATGGCATATATTTAGCCTGGTTTAAAGTTTGTTTAGTCATTTAAATGCATTTATGCTGGGTTATCAACACAAGAAAGACAGCAGAGTTCCTTTAACTGATGTTTACTGTGGTCTCGTATCTTGCTTTACACCACATGTACACCGCAGAACTGATAGAAAAACACAATATTAGTTTACTTGCTGAAACTTATACAAATTATACAATCTAACAAGCTAAAATAATAAACATACCACTTTGGTCTGCTAGTGGACAAACCGGTAAGATTGAAAACACTTGTCTTTCTTCTCAATTGCTCTAGTAGAACCCGTTTGCATCACTTATGGCCTAGCTTGATGAAAAACCCGAAGTGATGTCACTAGGGTTGCCACTTGCGCACAGAACAACTCTACTCTTGCGAGTGTGACCCATGTCTGTGCGTCCTGATTCACTCTCCCTCCCTCTCATAGCTAGAGCTTAGAGTTCTACTGTTCTTGAATCATGTTCCCCTTATGACTGTCAGTCTAAAGCATTCTCCATTCAGTAATCTCTTTTCTTGGGGCTTTGGCATGTTTCCTGGTGACGGTTCTCATGTCCTCAACTAAAATTAACCCAAAATAAGCACACAAAAAAAAACATTAATATAATACCGGTAATCTTCCCTATAGCCTAAAAAAATTCTACCGGGCCAAGGAAGGGGATTTCTGTGCGTGATGATACTGTGCAAACCTACCATTTCCATGTATTAATTATTTTAATTGGCTGTAGCTTATTGCAAGAAATACAAGGCACGCTCAAAGAACGAAGTAAAAGTATAGTTCTGTGTTGAGCTGAAGTGGGACACGATTTGGTTAAAATGCAAGAAATTGCATCTAAGAAATACAAAATTAGAATTAGAAACTTTTCACTGTCATAAGTTACTCAAAAAATAAATATCAGTCCTTCTTTACTCTCATAGCTAATAAAAACCATAAAATAAAAAAGAAAACAGTGCACTTAAAAATAAAAGCTTTAAAATGAACTGCTTTATGGCATCAAAGGCGCCACAGCTACCTCTAGTGGTGAAAACATGAACTAAAATTACTACCACTACTGGTATAGCATTTTTTGCTATAACACATGATAAAGAGCAGATGCCATAAAGACCAGAATCTTGTTTAATTTTTATGCCAAACATACAAGCTCACATGCTTAAAAGACAATATCGTCTTTAGGGTAACTGTATCCTGGAAAAAAAGCTTCAAATGCATAACACATTATTAGAGTTACGGTATGTTCAGAATGATTATTTTTTTAAAACAGTGGATGTTAGATATTCAGTTTAGTTACCACCGAGGTTTACAAAATTTTACAAAAGAATTTCAGTAGAATATCAAAAGGTTTATAGTTGTGTTTCTCCTGAACACATATATAGAGATCAACTGATATGGGTGTTTAAAGGCCAGGACGATAGAGATTATATTGATCAGATTTCCGATATGTGCTGCCGATATTATACAGCTGATTCTTAGAGTTGATTTTTTTCCCCCTTCAGTTACAAAATAAAAATACACAATAGTAACAAATGTTGCGTAAGTCTCAATTTAAACAAAGAGGAACACTTACAAATCAAAGAAAACATTAACAATATATTGAGGAGAGCCTCAATGTATGCTTTGATCGTTATTCATGATCTACAGGCACTAATGGATCGGCCAACACATGCATGTATCGGCCAATACCGATATATATCGGCCGGCTGATGTATCAGTCTACCTCTACACATAACATTAATGTAATTAACATGTAAAATATGTTGTGCATGTTTTCTATGGATCATCCTTGTTACAGATCATAACTAGATCCTTTTACTAGAAGTCAGTTTTAGTCCATCTTGGAAGAACATCAGAGATGTCTTGTCATGTTCTAGAAAAAAAAAACTTTTTAAGTAGATTCATATATTTTTTTTGTGCTTCTTAAATTATTTTTAACACATCACTGACTTTGAAAGTAGCAAACTTAGCATATGCTTCGCCTAGTCTTTGTTTTCTGAAGTGTGTCTGTGTGCACTGGTAAGAGTATTTATTTTGCAATTTGAAAGTTCTTGGTTTAATTCCAACATCTTCCTGCTACATGTTGGTGTGCCACAGGTCAGGCATCAATCAAACCCATGGATGGATGGGGTTTAATTGATGTAACTGCAGTATAGTTGAGTGAAAATGCTTCCTGGGTCAGTATGACAAAAAAAATTCCTAAATCAATTTTGTTTACCCTTCTGGGTATGATTCATTCTCTGACCAGTCAAGGATGGGACTTTTTAATTTTTGCTGCCTAAGGACCTCTCATGGAAATATGGTATCAGTTAAGGGCTTCATAGGAAGCTGCAAAATTATTGGGTGGTAAGTTTTTGATCCACTCTGACAAGCAGTTATCTTTAAACCCTTTTTTAAATCAAATTGAAGAAGCTAAGAGAGTGCTGTGTTGACTGGTTACAGTCTATCTACAAAAAAAAAAGATCATCTGCACTTTTTCTTAAGAAGACAAGCAATGAGGGAAGAGAAGGAATATCATGTAAAAAGGAAAAGAGATGTTGACACAGGTGCAAAAGAGCTTGCATACTTCACAGCAGTCCTGCTGGGATACAGCATAAAAACAAGTTCGGTTTTTGAGCTTTTTTTTCTAATGTTTTCCAAAGTTAAGTTTTAGCTGCTTTTTCCCAACAGATGAAACCCTTCTCTGAAATGTTGGTACATGGAGGCTAAAATAAACCTGATGATGGCGCTCACCTCTTGCTCTCTACCTATAGCTCCAGAGCACAACTTACATTGTAGATTATAAACAATATTTTATATTAATTTTAACATAAACTACACTTTCTTCATTTCTTTCAGTCATGGTGACGATATGATTGTAACGCCATTTGCACAGGTATGTTGATTGATATAGATATTGTATATTCTGTTGATCACTGCCTGATTTAGTCCTAATCTATGTTGTCCTATTTAGGTTCTTGCAAGCTTGAGAACTGTACGAAACAACTTTGGTGCATTGACTAATTTACAACAAGACAGAGCATCTAATAAGTAAGTTGTTAAGGTATTTTTCTTTTTAAAATTATGTACCACAAAAAGATGAGAGGCTTGGTATGATGCAAGCTTTTATTTGTAGTTGATTTCCAGACTTGTAAGAGATGTTTTACTTCCTACTAAAATGAAAGTGTCCTTTTTAATAACAAATCATCCATGGTTAGTTGTTAGTAGATCTAAATAGTTCATTACAAGAGGTCAATATCATGTCATCTATTAATTTCAGCCAGTGGGTCCTCTCAGATACATTTGACCACAGTTGTGTGTGTCTGCCCTCTGCTGGTCTTTTTAAATACTGAAATAGCTCTCAGTGATTTGTTTACACTAAGCTTCTGTCAGTCACAGTGTTTGGCCTAATATGAACCAACAGAAGTTATAGTGTTTATCAAACTGTGCATATTGTTAAAGGGCGAATAGTTTATTGTTTGTTTGTTTTCACCACAACAGGAGATCACCCATGTGTAACCCACCCCCCATCACTAAGACCACCTTTACAGGTAAGAAATATAAACAGTAAAACTGTTGCATGAGAAAAATATTTTTTCTATTGTGTCCATACAGTTTGTTATATATTTTTAATTTGTATTTATATTTTGGAGCAAATCATAGTATTTTCCGTGTTACAGACATTTGACTTATCTCGCCGTTTGTAATCAGGTTGATCAGGTGCTAGTTTGACAAACACAGATATACAGTATCAGTGCCAACATAAAAGAATCCCAGTGCTTCTTTACTTTATATTCACTACTGACTAAGGCAGCATAAAATCCTTTTGCCATCATCTTTTAGAGCCCATCCTATGTCCTTCTCCAACTGTGGTTCCTGAAGAGGGCATGGTGCAGGCTGTATCAGATGACTAGAAAAGACTTGCCCTTGACTATCAGTGGCACCTTCAGTGGCTGTAACCTAGCTCATGTTTGCCAAGATACACTATATAACCTTCAAAACCGATAAATCATTTCACACCTCTCATTTAGTACGATGATCGTGTCAGCAAAGACAAACATTGAAGAAACAAAAAACAATGAATTACTGATATTTCAAGCACAAAAACGTGTAGCATTGAATGTAGTGTATGGATCACAGTTTACCTTCTGCATTTAAAATATATATTTAAGGAATCCCTCTGAGAATCACATCCAAATCATTCTTAACCTGATTATGGGGGTTCCAGTGACATTGTGCTATATTTAGCTCACAATCATACTGCTGCAAAGCCATTATTGCTCCTGCCATAAAGTGGCGACAGCTGTGAGTCATGGGCATCATTACATGAGAGTATTGACCGATCAACATAATGCAAACGCATACTAAATCTGCAACAAGGCGGCTTGCAGAGTAAAGCAATAAAGGAGCATAATTAATATTATCATGATGAATTTCCCAGGAGCAATAAAGTTGTAATTTGATATGAGGATCTTGGTTTTTTCAGTTTTTTTTTTTTGATTCATTTATTGAAACAAGATGTGACTTGGGATTTTCTTTTTTTTTTTTTTTCTTAATTGGCACAGCCACAAACTGTTGTTTTAGAAGAGCTTTAAGTGGTAGAAGTTTCTATAATCAAAAAGTGGAAGGAAAATAATACATGGTTTATATCTTTATAGGACTCTGCACTTCATCAACTACATTTCTATATAGCAATCTTGAGTAAAGGTTTTGTTGAATCACGTTTTGATTCAACAAATCATTAGAGTAAATCTCTACCAGCTTTGTTCTCATAAAGACCTCAACTTTTCTCCATTCGTCTTTGCAAAACTGCTTATGAACCTTGATATTTGTATATTGATTAGTTTAAAAGCATTGAATTTCAGTTAGAATATTGGAGCTTAATGTAGGTGCATGTCAAACTTATCAGACCTTTATTAAGAATGAAAAAAAAACACTGTTTCTTTTTGCCCATTGTTAAAATTATCTACCACATCCCCATTTCTGGTTTAAAAGCCCCCATGTTCTTCCATAGGACAAAGGTTTTCTCACCTTTTCCCCTTCTACTGCTCTGTGAATGTCATCCTTCCCTTATGCCACTCCGACTCCTCTGTTAAGCTGTTCCATAGTTTGGCTCCAGCCCTGCGTCTGTGCAGCAGAGTGGCCTCTCTGAGCGCCGGTGTCTGATGTCGCACTAAGCATGAGAAGAATGTCATTGACGTCAGTGCAGTTGCTGTCAGAAAGAGTAGCACCCCAAGCCACTGACACCACACCGGGTAGAAAGATGAAGACACAAAAAGGCAGACTGAAAGGTTGAAAGAAGAGAGACACAAAAACATGAGCAGTGGATGAAGCATAAAGTATGGAGAAGAGAGGAAGGGAAGTAGGAAACATTTTAAAGGACTGGAAACAAAAGGGGCTGGACTTAGTTTTGCATATGAAATGACAACAATTTAGAGGTAGACAGTCAGCAGGGACATAATTGTCATGTAAACATGTGGGATTCCAGCAGCAGTCATTTCTAAACACAATATATGATCTAAAACACATTTACAGATTATTTGAATTCCGACATTTCAAAACATTAAAACCTACACATGCAAACGTCTCATTAAAACACTAGTTATTGAGTAATTTATACATTCATAAAACAACAGATTTTCTACAGCTGTAGCAATAATCATCAGGCGCTCTTCTTGCCCAGACTACATGAAATGTAACTGCAGTGTTATTTCAATTTTCCTTTACATCTCCCTGTCAGGGTGTATTAACACTGTTTTCTATATTATTAGGGGCATTGATACTAACTGGTGTAGCATTTTCTGTTGACATGGGCTGTGTTTGAGTTTCTAAAAGAGTACAATGAAGCAATCATGCAAATAGCTTTTGATGCTGAGGCTCTCACCATATTGTTGTCTCTGCTTTGGTGGTGTTTGTATGCCGAGCACATATTAGTATGCATGCACACACAGCGTTCAGAGCTGGGAGCTCTGGCTCCTCTCCTTAGTTTTTATTTTCATCCAGTTCATGTTTTATCTGCCACCCTTCTCCGTCCACGGCGCAGTCCTCTTAGGCTTTAGGTACAGCTTGGGGAGAGCAGCACGTTTGGCTACCAGGGACGCTGAAGCAACAGCAGCCCACCCCCATTACCCCCCCTATTTACACAGCATCTGTAGGAAACACCATCCGGCACAGACACTCAGCGCCAGCTCAAACTCACTTGCTTTTTGGATACTGTGGATGTTATTTATTGGCAGGGGGGGCTGAGGAGACTCAACCAGGATGTGTTATGGGTAGCTTTTTCGGCTGGTGTGAGTGTGTACATGTGTGTCTGCCTGCTGCTGAGCATGTGTTTGTATGAAATGTCTCGTGTTATTTGACCATGTCATGGTGCTGTGGACATGCTTGGTCTGTGCTGGACAACTGGACTCCTGTGGATGCTACCTGGCTGTGAGGCGCTCATTGGATCATCTTCTTCTTCCCACCGTTATTGTCTCCTCTCCGTCCATCCTAAAGCAGACATGGGCCTGCTAAGCAGACTGTTGTTCATCCTTCTACATGACTGGAATTACACGTCTTCTAAGAATGAGAGAAAACTCTCTATACAGCTCTCTTTGTATGGGTGCTTATGAACAAGCCTGAGATAAGTTTCTGCATCCCTGCTGTTGCTTTACCCAGTCTGTGTCAGCATCTGCTGAGGCTTAACATCTGGACACAGAACTGACACAGGGTGGCAGATTGGCTTCAAACACCAGAGACCTGCAGCTGAGTTTGCATTAAAAAGGAAAACAAAGGATTTAGGGTGTAGAGTTGAACTTTTTGGAAAAAAAGTCAGTGAGGATTCCTCCAGCTGAACTGTGAGCTGGCATACAAGGACAGAGAAGGCCCCTCTCCCAGGCCATCACAGCTGGCTTACCTGTTTCAGTATGAAGAGTCACCCATATGTTTACTCGGGGTATCCCAGCTTAACTGTTTGTGGGGTGGGAGACCCCGGACCGGCCGCTAGTCCTCTGAAGCGGGCCCTCACTGACCCGTTGCCCCCCTGTCTTGCCCCTGCAGAGGAGGCCTATCAGAAATTGGCCACCGAGACCCTGGAGGAGCTGGACTGGTGCCTGGACCAGCTGGAGACGCTGCAGACAAGACACTCTGTCAGCGAGATGGCCTCAAACAAGGTGAGGATGCCTGTTTGTTATATATGACATATTTACCAGTTTCGGTTGAAATGTCTTTAGAACAAGCGTAAAAAATAGCTACTCTAACACATAAAGAAGCTGATCTAAGAGTTTTCTGAGGTATTTTCATGGGCCATGAAAATGCCAGTGTGCACCTGAGTTTTAAGAGTAATATGATTAAAATGTGTTCATGCAGACTGCAGAATAAGCATAATAGTCTTATGGTGTTGTTATTGGCTGATTCTTATTGTATATTTTTGTAACCTTTTACCTGTGGATTGAGATGATAGTTTATTCCAGTTTCTTTACAGGGCTATAAAATTATATAGAATCAGTCAAAAAAGAATTAAAACACTGAGCAGTCTTACTCACTGTTTTGCAGACTTTCTGAACTTTCTACGTGTTGTAGAAAATAACCTCACTTTTAAATACCATCAAAGACTGCAGGGCTTCCTCTGAATGACTTTGGAAACACCCCAGGGATACTAAAAGTTTCCTGCTCAATATCCACTTAATGTCCACATGGTTCACACCAGAGAGTGCTGCTAATAGTTCTTCACTGTTAAATTACTTATGAAATAAGAGGTTTATTTTTCATTGCCAAAGGCTGAACAACAATGTTATCAATAGGTTCAATATAGCAGCATAATTATAAGGGTCAGTGCATCTTGATAAATAAAGCAAAGAAGCAGAAGTCTCAGCATATAATACACTGTAATGTTATGGAGTATAATATGTGCAGTAGTTACAGTATCGGTTCAGTATTAACCAAATATTACACCCCCTTGTGTGTGTGTTAATTTTTTCAGGTAGAGGTTTTCAACATTTTATTATCTTTTTCGCACATCACCATTAAAAGTTTAACTGTTGGTGTCTTTTAATGTACGTATCTTAGTGACAACATTGTCATGCAGGCAGCGAGTTCTGGTATGAGCATGCTCAGTTGCCACCATTGTGTGTGTCCATACGTGTGTGTGAAAGGAGGCTGCTATGTCGCTGTGAATGCTGATGAGCACTGGGCTGTAGTGATGTCACACAGCGTGATGTCACAAGACCAGAAATGATGAGAGACAGCGAGGACAGACGAGACAAAGGACTCGCACAGTGTTCACCTCTGATGTTAGCACATCCACAACTTTGCCTCGTTTAGAGATGAGGAGATATCTTAAATAGATGAAAAAAGTCATAGTACCTCTCTGCCTCACCGTCGCTCACCATTCAGAGCTTTTGCCAGTTGTCATGGTAACAGCCACAGGCCCAGCCGTGCTGCTATCTCTCTACTATCTCACATACATACTCAAACATCACAGGTAACACATGCATCCCTTTACCCTTAGCCATAACTTGAGGCCTGCAGACTTCCTTTTTTGATTATTTGTAATAAGTGCCCAACATAACTCTTAATGTGGTAAAAAAAGAAAAAAAGAAAAAATAGAGATAAAAAAATAAAGACAAGATTTTGTTCCCTTAAATAAATATTACTTCAGTTGCAGAAAAAAAAACAGTTGTTTTAAATTATCTAAATGTCTTAGACTTGAAGACATCCAAGAAAGACCCAAACAATGGTTCAAATTGAGCTCTGAAGCTGCTGTGTTACTTAGCTGGTGGATGTTTCTCATGAAGGGCATGTTTCATGTAATGTTTAACACTCACTAACCGGCTTTACAATACTAGTTAAGTGTAATAATTTATATAAATATATCTATGAGGGCTCTAATGTAGTTATCCTGTATTTGGCGTATTTGGCTTACTCTGTCTCTGCTTGAGAACAGTGTGTGCTAAAAAGGTCTGATGGCCGTTTTTAGAGGTCGCCCTATAGAGGAAAGGGGAGAGATTTCAGAATTAGTCGCTTTTACTCACTTCAGGTGATAGTAATTTTTTCAACACTTTATGTGTCTTATTTTCTAATTTTTTATGCAATTGAGCCCATAACCCATAAGTTTAAAGGAAATTTTAATGTTTTTTTGCAGGGATGTTCCAAACAATATTTAAAAAGACAAATAGAAAAGTCTAGAAATTTGAATGTTTAGTTTTTTTTTATATTCTCACAGATTAAGCATTATAGTATTTAACTTCAGCTTTCCATATCATGCCTCCACTTTTTGTTCAGCACACTGTTTTCTTACTGTTTTTATTTTGGGCTACCATTAAATGAGGACAAAGGGGAAAAAAACAGGCATTTTAACTGCTAAATCCTTTTTATTTATTACTTCTTTTGATTATGAGGCTGTAAGATTACTATTTTGGTAATAAGATAAAATGAACTAAAACACATTTAGATCTGAGTGATAAATAAAATATTATTCATTGCCATCTCTAGTGATTCCCAGACCTTTCAGGTGTGACCCACAAAGAGACAGTGCAAGAGACTCGAAGCCCCGAGTGTTAGCTGACTATCCCCAGCATTTTAAATTAGTCTGATAACTAGAGTCTTATAACTAGAATGATAACATCACAGGTTCAATGTTCATTGTAATTACATCTCTTTGAATCTCCTAATATTTGGATTTTAAGTATGCAAACTCAGCTTTATTTGGATGAATTCTTGAACCAGATCTTGTGAGTCCACACCTGTTGACTCCAGACACTAAGTGTGGGTTCCACCCCAAAGTATGGATCCAATGGCCTATTGTACAGTTTTACAAGCCATGAGAGCAAAAACCATTCCATGGTTTTTGATAGTTAGCATCACAGAACATGATCTACTTAGTTTCTGGCTAACAGTTTGGATCCTGTTAAATTTAAATTACCAAACATATCTATTGAAGATCTATTCAGATACTTTCATAATAATAATAATAATTTAGTGGTGCAACCATGGGCGTAGGTTTGCATAGGGACCATAGGGACATGTCCCTACCAAAATTTTGAA